AAGCTCCTCTTCCTCACAGAGCACAGCTCACATACAGTACTCAATCCGAGTCTCCGAGTCACACATGTTCTCGTCAGAGTGTGCTGGCTACAAGAGTTTTTGTTCTTGGCTTGTTTCAGAAAACAGGTGATGGATAAAATCCGTTCCAAAGTTTTGTAAGTAATTCTTTCTTTTAATATTTGAGCTGTCAATTCATTACATGTACAGTATATGATGGCAGTATAATTATTCTCTCTAAAACTGCCGGATTTGAAGAATGTACATAAAATAGCTAATGTACAGTATTGTACTGTAGTTTAAAACTCAGGCGCGATGCTTGAGAATGGCGAAGTGCAATATTACACCATCTGTGTAACTGCAGAACCTCTTTTCCTTAATTGAAGCTTTGATCACACTCAGAGATTTAGCCGAAGAAAAATCCATAACTGGATTGTAAGAAACTAGGAATAAATAGTCAGGGCCGTCAACAAGGGCTGAATAGTTGCTCAGCTCATGACTCCTGCATTTATTTCCATTGTTGGGAGCTTGTCTATGTGGTGTTTGACTGCTCTGTCTGTCTCTCTGTGAGTTTGGCTTCCTAAGAGTGCACTGATTTTCACCAGCCTCCTTAAGACATTCGGATTGGGTTTGATTTGCCAAACTTTCCCTTTGTAGAGGTATATTGTTACTTGTATGACCAGTACTGGATATAAGATTACAAAAGAACCAAATGAACATGATGGACCAAATGGCTTCCTCTCATTTACAGTCATTCTGATAAATACATTTTTATAACAGAGTCTTTTTGCCAATTAATATACACTATATATACAGTATATACTGAATCTAAACATCAGCAATTTCATAGTCATCTTTGGAAAAGATCACCTCTTTTGTTTTCTACACCCACAAGCCACAAGAGAATAACAAAATAAGAATTAAGGTTAATGCTGTGTGTTTCCACAGTTTGCCTAATTTACCACATCAACCACTAAATCAATCCATAATTTGTTTTCTTACAGACCTGCTGGTCTTCCCTACACAATAAAATAAGACCACAAATGTTTAGAACATGAGTGTATTAGTCTTCAAATATAAGCTGTCTTTCCACACTGTTATCAAAATGGGAATATCCATTTTTATAGAATAGAAATGATTCGCACTCAGCCATCCAAATGTTTTGAAAGTACACATACTAGTATGAAAAAGTATGTCTTTATTAACAGAAGTATGGGAGTCTGGCCACTACCCACTCCCTGCTGTTCTGTTGTTGCATGAAGAAACAGCAATTACAGTACAAATGTACTCTAACAGTTGATATAGTACAGTAATTAAATAAAACAAGAATGAAAAAATAAAATGGTGACATTTTCAAAGGATACTCTCCAGTTACATTTTGTGAATGTTAAGTATCAAAATATAAAAAGATGACCAAAACAAATATTTTACATTGTTTTGACTGCCTTGTTAACTTCAGTCCCAAAACCATGGTTATTAAAATGAAATATTGCATTGATTATTTGTCATCAATCAAAATAGAAAATTACATTGTAATATTAAAGGTTACAGAATGTTGATTTCCATTTTTACCATATTCCCTAACAATACAGTATATTTAATCATGTTCAAATATTTGCAGAATAGTGGAATGTATTAAGTTTAGAGTAAAGCATAACAGGGGAATGTCAAAATGGAATTTAAACTGTATGAAAGTCACATTTGTGTTTGATGTAAAATTGCAGGGGTCATGCTATTAATTAAATAGCATGTTCAGGCTCACACTTTCCTAGTTAAATCAGTAATTATTATTTCTAAAATATTGCACAGCCCATAGAAACATTTCAAATATAAGTATCTTTCAATATGGTGGTACACACGTAAATACATTTAAAGAACTAATGAATCACAGCAGTTTTATTTTTTGCCTCAGTTTTATGCTTATTCCAAGCATCTAAAAGTCACCTACTGGACACTAGAGGGCACTCTTTCATTGAAATGAATTTCAGTTTTCTTTTCTGAATACAGCTTTCTTTTCTGAAATGCTTGTGTTTGTATTTAAATCCCTTAAGCTGCATTCTATCCACCTGTGTCACACACAACCTTGGTGACGCACTGCAGACGGGTGATGAAACTGCTGGTTCCCTCGTACACGACCCGTTCGGAATTGGCAAAAGAAGATGAAAACGAAGGACCTCCTTTCGGAAGATAAATGTACACGTACTGTACCTTAAAAATGTAGATGTTTTTTTTAAATGTCTTTGCATATTTTTCACTTTTCTAAAAACCTTTTTAAAAACAGCACACCATACATGGGCATGAAGAAGACTTCTCTTTAATTCCTCATCTTAACACATGGTGAGAACACAGCCAGTCAAATTATTCACTTGAGATGTACAGATCATATGGAACCATAGTATAGTACAGGAGGCAGGTAGGACGTATAGATCTTGTGCAGGACGAGAGAGAGACGGTCATAAAACGATAGAGACAACTAGAGAGCAACAATCCAAAACGCAAGACTTAAAAATCGTAAACGAGGGGCTAGATATCGTCAGATACCGAATATACAGTAAGCTAGTAATGAAATAACGCGCACTTGGGAGCGCGAGGAGAATCCACAACTATGAGCAGGAATCGAGAAAAGAGGGGAGCTGAATTAGTGATGGGAGTGTACGGTGATACTGTAGGTGTATTACTTGTGGCGTGAGCGTTTGTAACACACAGTGCGCATGGGAATGCAAGACGGGTCAGAGATGCGTGTGGAATGGTAACACATACTGTAGGTGCTCCTGGTCCTGTATCTGGCAATCAGGTACTGTACTGTAAAGTTGAACAGGTCAGTGAAGAGCAACCTCACAACTTCATACCTCAAGATTAATGCAATCTATTTGCTTCCCGAATTGTAAACTATTGAGGTGGTGGAGGAAACTAGAAAACTCCTGGATCTCTCTGCTTTAGTGGAGGGTCTTGTTGCCATAGCAATTATCGGATTATAACAAGCTACAGCCAACAGTGGTACCATGGTAAATAAATAAATGTGACAGTGTGAGTCCCTTGTTTTGAATTAGTTATTTTCACGTTTTTGTACAAGAATCACCTGATCTATTTACTTGTGTTTTCCCTCTCCTCTTCCTTGCACAGCGCTAAGGTGACTGATTAATTGATTGGCATAAACAAATAAGCCATAAAGCCCTCCTGACCCCATGACCCACGCAAGGCAGGTGGCAGAGAAACAGAATCAGAGGTTTGAAGTAGAGTTGAAGCAAAGTGAAAAACCAGTGGAGTCAGACGTATTCTCGCACTGTTCGCTTGAGGTTACGTACCTTAAATTTGAGATTTCTATTCAATAAAGACAACAAGCTATGAGAAACATTATCACTTATTTCAACTGTGTACAATACACAGCGTTAGAATTCTATTTTAATTTTGGGGAAATGAAATAAATGTAACCATTAAATGTAATGTAATGTAACCATGCGTGTCGATTTGTTGTGTTGCACGCTTTTTCGCCCCAATTAGAGGAGCCCGACTCGGGCGTACTGTATGGCGTTACAAATACAAAACAATACAGTACACTGTACCACCGAGTGTACCGGGTAATAACCACAAGATGGCGCTATTATAAAACTTATCTTCACAAATGGTCATAAGCATCAGTTCAACGCCACAAAAATCTGTAGTTGTGTTTTCAGTTCAAGGTCGATAAAACTGGTTTACTCATCTAGTGTGAGACAATAATACAGTACCTCCTGGTTTAATCTACAGCTTTGCACAATAATGAAGGCCAGTAATACCGATGCGTTATGTTTTAAATAAACAGTCCTTTCCTCTACAAATTCAGGAAGATTTGATGTTACCTTTCAGACCGTGGTCGGGAAACAGAGGAGCTTCTGGATATCTGATTCCGTATAAGCTCCTAGGCCAGAGCGTAACGCCCGGGGGAGGGGGTAATACCTTTTTTATCGTTTTAAGTCTGCCCCGCAAATGAGTAAAAACCAAATTGGAAATAGACTGAAACATGTGGGGTTTATTCTTGTTTAAAAAAGGCTTTCGGCAGTCCTCCGGTGAAATAACTCAAGAAAATCTCGTTCACGTCCGCTCCCGTTCTCTTCTCACCCGTTCAAACAACGTTCAACGAACAAACCGACAAAATTTGAACTAACCTAGAGTACTTTTTCATACAACGCCCCATTCTCCTAATGACACAAACCGCCATCTTCAACAGATAATATTGCAATTAACGTATAACTAGTAAAATACTGTTTGTGTTTTACTGTTTTTGCATCGTTGCACTGTTCTGCAGGATTGTAGTGGTTTCGTAATAATTTAGAAATACAGCCTTATTGCCGATATTCAAGAATATGAAAGGTTAGGACATTGCAGAAGTGTCTTAATTTGGTGATTGAAGTCTTCTCAGAATCATGGCGTAGATTAGCATCCACATTATTCTCCATAAAAAATCAGTCGGTTCGCTCTCAGGGAATCTTTCTCTTTACAGAAACTCTTCAAAGCCGCAAATAATGGAGTGAAAAAAATGTAGAGTTTATATAACTGACGTTTTAGCATGTAGAGATAAGATTTTGATTATTTTAACCGTAATTCTGGACGTTTCCCGCAGCAGCTGAGAAACTTACAGTACAAGGTCTACAAAACTAGACAATTTCGGGACGCAGAAGAAAACGAAATAAGGTGCCAGGCTAAGAAACCCTGTGTTTACATAATGTACCAACACTGCACGAAATCAAAGCAAAACCAAAAAAGGCTTGCCCACCAGAAAGTCTGAACCAGAAATTTCAGATATATTGTAACGCAACGGGGCTCAGGCGGGCGCCCTT